CTAGGACAGAGAAATAATTTTGAGATGAGTAATAAAATTGTTGAAATGTTTGGAGAAATCAAATGCACGTAAGAGTAAGATAATACATTCTAAGACATGTTTTTGTTAAATCTGGGGAAGGCTTAGGCTGAAGCATATCATGTTGAAAGTGATCCTGTGTTGAAAACTTCAGTGTGTAAAAATTCCTAATTATAAAAATATGTGATACTTGGAGCTTTAATGCGATGGATGATAGATATGTTGAAGCATTTTCTGTCTATATATTTATACAAATGTGCTCATTAGATATTAACGTCTGTCTCTCTTCCCTTCTCCCACTCCCCAAAGTGGAAAAGTCCTCCCAGAAATGGCTGGTTGGTCTTAGAGGATAGAGAAAGATAGCAAGTGAACAATAGAGAGACAGGACGTTAGTGAGAAACAGATAGGGGTTATTAACTGTTGATGATGACATGTATAGTATTCTCAACTGGATTGGTCTGAGAAGTATTTCATGATGGGCAAAGTATTTTTACAAGCAAAATGGCTGGTTGGTCTTGATCATGTCCCACTCAAACAGCAACCAAACTGTTCTGGGCCAATAGCACCACCTGGTGGTCAGGAGGGAGAATTGTCCTGCTGGCCCTTCCTATCTTTCTTCCTTCTTGAAAATTAAAATCTTCTTTGGCTCTTCCTTCTTTATCCTAGTTTGTGTCCCTTGTTACCTGAAAAAACATGCATATGCTTGTAACATGTTCTTTTTTATATTCTTCTATTCTTTTTTTCTTCATCCCATTTAAAGATCTAAGACATCAAATAAGGAGAAAGTGTTTCTGATCATGCATCTTGACAAGGAAAAAGACTCAACATTTTAAATTATAATAAATAGTCCCTCTAACCTTTAAAATGCTCAAGTTGTTTTAAGTCTCTTTTAAAGGAAACACCAAAACACCTGCAGCTCTTTTTCTCCGATTTTCATTTAGTTATCATGATTCAAGATCTCTTAACTATTTTTATTCCGAGATCTCTTAACTATTTTTATTCCGTTTGATTTTACTTTCTGGTCACCAGTGTCACAAGAAGACTTTTGTTCCTCATTTTTTCTTTAAAATCTTGAGCATTTCAAGCTTCCATGGCCTAACTTCATACTGGAGTGACAATTTTTGGAATATCTTTTCAATGGAAAAATGCATTCTGAGTACCCTTGAGCTTACCAGTAAATACAAAGACACGTTTTTGAATGGAGAAGAAAGCAGACAGGAAACGTGCCCCATCCGTTAAGGGGGGACTGCCAGAGTGCATTATACCTAAGCATTAACAACCTTCCATTATTCACGAGCGTGTGCAGTACTTGGCAGCAGATTCGGGCCTCTTAGCTCCTGTTGACCTCTACGATTTTTTTATTTTCCAGATCATTTCCATATGCCAAAGACCACCAGACATCCTTAGCCTTGCTGGGTGGCTCATAACAGAGAAGGCCTCTAACATAGGTGTGAGCCGTAAGGTGTTCATCTTTCCTTATTCCAGATAGCATCCAGAGAGGAAAGCACCTTTTGATCAGGGGTTTTCTAGTGTGTATAATAAAAGCCACGTTTACTGGATAACAGAGTCGAGCCGTCCATTGCTCTCAGTCAGTGGAAATGCTTGGAGTAGCCTGAGCCAGAGCGTTCTGGGGAAAAGAGCATGCAGGTCGAGTCTCCTTTTCGTGTTCCATATTTAATCAGTTCAATTCAGCACCTTACTGAAGCTCGACATCTTCTAAGTAGCTGGGGGGGTGGAAGGGGGAAAGGGGTTACAAAATATTTATAAGTTTATTTCCTATATCCAGGGAGAGAGTAGCAGTTCATTGAAACAATACCGCAACTCCGCAGTTTCAGGGCCAACCTAATGGAGAGCTGGAGCTGTCTAGGAGCCCAGAGAAGGTTTCGGCCCATCAGCTTGAGCCCTCGTGAACTTTCCGAGTGGCAGGATCTGCTGAGTGGGCCAGGGCACAATAACTGCAGATTAGGGGAGACTACTTTATAGGACTGATTTGGGGGCAGGTCTGGGCTACACCGTTTTTGGAGTGGTGATAAGGAAGGGCTCATCCATGGCCACCCCAGTAGAATGATGTGGGAGCCTCGTGTGTCCCTTTGGGAGGGCTGCCGGGTGTTTTCATGGGAAACTGCCTTCCGAGGTGAGTGGCTTATATTAGCACCACTCACCCAGTCCTGAGCACCTTTCTTCTCTGGAGTAATCGCTGGTGTCAGTGCCTTCCACAGGAGGGTAGACTACAAAATAAAGGGCCCAGAAAACTCATCGGCACCCCAAGCCTGCCCTCACAGTGGGTGTGTCCACAGCCACTGACAGGCAAACCCCAACTGTTACATCTTTCAGGGGAAAGGAGAGCCCTGGGATCCCTGGAGGCGTCAGACCGGGAGGCAGAGCTCCTTGGCCCTGAAGGCACTGCCTCCTCACCCTCTGGGGTTGGGGGTGGCCCTCTGAACTGTAGACACCTCCACAGGGAGAGCCTCTTCTGGCTTTGACCCCTACTTGCCTCTCCTTGGTGCCTTCTCTGCACATTGAGGAGGAGACTGATTCTGTGCAGCCGAAGTGCTGAGCAGGTCCAGCTGCCCGCCTGGCCTGGCCTGGCCAGCCCAAGTTGCACCTCCTGGAGCCCCACAGGCATCCGGGACCAGGAGTGCCCTCCTAGCAGCGGGCGTCTAACCCCCTGGAGCTCTTTCTTTCCTCTGAACCTACTCTGGCCTGGGTTGCTCTCTTCCTTCCCTTCCCTTCCCTTCCCTTCCCTTCCCTTCCCTTCCCTTCCCTTCCCTTCCCCTTCCTTCCTTCCTTCCTTTACATTGCAGGATGTATTTGTGATTTCCAGAGACAGAGAGGGGAGGGGGAGGTAAAAAGCACCCCTAAATAGGGTATGGCCATGCCTCCATCCCTTCTTCTCCATTTCTCTATTTTCTCAGGATTCTGGACATGCACACCCACATTTTTTCAAGCTTCTGGGGCCAAGATTCAAACCGCAGTGTGCCTTTTGGGATCTGACTCTTTAGCCAGCCACAGGCTGGCCCCTGGGCTGTCCTTTTCAAAGGAGGTGGACATATGGCCTGACCAGCACAGAGGACAACAGATCTCAGTTAATGAGGACTCCACCAGCACATCTTCAGTTTTTCTGTTTTTCTGGTCACATCGCTGAGCAAGCCTACCTTCAGCCAGGGCCCAGAAGTCTTGTCCCATTTACATTTGTGAGGCTAAGCCCCTCTCCTCCTGAATTTGTGTGTTAATTTCACTAGGCCTCACATTGATGTCCGTGAGGTTTCAGCTTTTGAGATCCAGTTTCCTCTTGTGGTTTAGGAAGATAGTTTAAGTTCTGAATTCTGTTACATGCAAAAATAATAAGACTGTCACGTGTATGTTCTTCCAGGCTGGGTAAGAAATCCCATTTTCATGGACATTTTCTTTGGAGGGCAGAAATTCCATGATCTCTTCTATGTAACCAGCACGAGTCACATTTGTCTACAAAACGCCAGGGCCTTTTCCTCCTGCTTAGATCGGGCACTGCCTGAATCCTGCATGCGTTGGCCTTGTTTTCACCACCACCTCACCCCACCCCAGCTCCTGGCAGTCCTCTGCTCCCTCTTGGTCTTCACAGACCTTTCATGTTGTAAGGTGGCCTCAGTTAGCCTTCGCATGCTGGTGAGCTTCCAGCTCTCGAGAGCTCAGCACCTGCAATCTCGCTCTGGCTCCACACGTGCATGGCACCTGCTAATCAAGAGCGCTGTCCGCTGTGTTCCTATTACTTAGGTTGTCTTGGCCTTGCCCACAGTGATCTGGGATATGGCCAGTTGATGTTTTCTAGACAGCTAGACCTTCACAGCATTCCTAATTTTCTTGGATGAGCTTCCCCTCTTCCTGGGCCAAAGAGCCCCAGAGCCATTACTGCAGATCTGGGTGACATCTTCTACACGTGCTCTTCCACCTGTGCATGTCTGCTAACATTGTTTCGGGCTGTCCACACTGATCTCGGGACAGTTTGCAGTAGTGCCTTTGGGGCCTTTTTTTTTTCTGGTGATATTTCAGCTCTCAGCAACAGTGTAGTGTCGTGTAGGAAAATGATGACAACGTTTCAGTGACCGCTAGTCTAAGTGGTGGTTAATCTCAGGCCTTCTGGGCCTGAGGCTTTCTGTGGTGTATACGGCAAGATCCTTTGCATGTTTCTCTCATGCTTCCTCCTCTGTGCCTTCCTGGTGCTCTGCATTATCCCCCCCTGCCCATACCCAGCTGGGCCAGAATCTGGGCTCCTGAGTCCAGAAGCCCCAAGGTCATCCCCAGTGTGTCCCTGCACTCTGTCCTCACCAGGAAGGGCTGAACAGTCCTCAACAACTTGGGCCATAGAGCACACCAAAGAGTTGCAGAAATACTTGTCATTTGTTTATTATTTACTTAGTTATTGAGTTTTTCATTCACTTCTTCCACGAGAGAGAGACAGACAGACAGACAGCAGCCCCCAACAGGGTCTTCACACTACAACCCACCCGTGGTCTCAGCCCGCTGGGTCATGGGCATGTACATGCCCAGAGTGCTCAGGGAGGTCCCAAGGTGCAAACCTGGGGCCCTTCTGACCTGGGTCCAGCTGTGTCGCTGCTGCACCACTGCCTAGTCCCGTTAGTTTTTAAGCAGCTTTATTGAGATGAAATTCACATTCTTAATAATGCAGAAGAGCACGTGGTAGCTCTGGTTAGCACTCATATGCCACACACGATATGTATTCTAAGAAAGCAGAAGTGCATTCTCTTTGGCTGGCTGCCTGCGTGTCGTGTATGAAATCAGGCCGGGAGTCTGCCCAGGGGACATCTCAACCCTGTTCTTCTGTGCAGAGTTCTCTTCCCAGCCATGGGAGCCCTTGGCCGACCCTTCTCTGCAGCCCAGTGCCTTAGCTCCCATGGCTGATGCACTTACCACAGCAGCCCTAATTCCTCCGCTACGCTCTAAAGTGCTCCAGTTTCAGTTTTGAATACACCAGATGACAATTAAAAATAATCCTGAGGTAGAGAAGTTACACATCTCTGCAGCTTTATTGTGAATCCAGAGCATGCCGGTGCAGACACTGGTGAGTAGTGAGAGCCTAGTGGTTTAGCTTCCAGAAAATGTACACAGCATAAGCCTGAGAAGACCGAACCTAGAGAATGCCGTTCAGTGAGCACCGCTGCCTGACCAGTGAACACGCTTCCCTTGCCTGGGTTACCTCCTTTATTTCTTCCTCTGTCTCCACTGGAGCTTGTGTCTCTGGCAGGTAGGAGAGGTTAGCAAGAGGCCCCCCAGGTACAAGGTGCTCAGAGTCTCTGGTCTTCAGAGTCTTGAAGGGAAGAGCATTTGGGAAACCCCTACTGTGGGATTTCTCAGGGCAGTCTTGAGTATGCCAGGGTCTGATGGGAAGAGACAGGTAGCACCGTTCATCCTTGAGGGTCAGTCTCAAGATTCAGTCTCACTACTGGGGTCTCAGAGTCCACTGTGGGGGCTGTGCCCCATGTCCCAGTTGATTCATTACCTTCCCTTACTTGTCTGTCGGTGTTTTCTCCACAATACTAGCAGAAAGACATTGGCAGTATAGTGCTCAGGAATGCGGACGCAGGAGCAAGGCTTCCTAGTTTCCTTCTACCTCTGCCACTTTGTGCCTGTGTGTGACCTTAACACCTTGTTCACCCTCTGTCCCAGCTTCTTCACCTTAAGGTGAAGATACAGGATATCACAGCACCTTTCTTATGGAGTTGTGTGAGAGTTAAGTCGTGGACCACATGTAACATGCATGTGCCTGGCATGTAGTGTGTGCCATACACAGTGTCAGGATTAGGCGGAGCCTCACCACACAAGGGGACTGCTTTAGAGCTGCTTCTAGTGGGCATATCCCAGGCACTGTCCTAAGCTAACTCCTTGTCTGTCCACTCACTAAATCCTCACAGCTACCTGTGAGGCCAGTCCCCTAGTAGTTCCCATTTTCACAGACGAGTAAATAGAGATGCAGAACAGTCCCATGACTTGCCTAAGATCTCAGAACTGAGATTTCCGTGTCTGGACTCCGTATCTCCAAATCAAGAGTAATTTGTCGAATAAAACAAACTTGAAGTGTTATTACCTCAGTTGATGATTGAATCCAGTTTTTCAGAAGGTCTTGAGAGTACAGGGTCTCCTGAAGGGCTCATTAAAACACAGATTGCTGAGCTCACCCAACTCTGTCAGCAGGTCTGGGGTGACTCCGAGAATCTGTGCATCTAACACGCTGTCCTGTAATGTCAAAGCTGCTCCTCCAGGTGGGGACACACTTTGAGAACTATCGATTCAAATGTCATTTATCTCATTGATTATTTTCCTTGGCAAAATTTCTGTTCCTGTTCCTAGTCTACAAAAACAATTGTTAAAATGATGGCTTTTGGTTTAGCTGCATGTTGTCCTTACAGTGTTAGAGTTACGGATTCATTATCCGTCGGTGTTTCAGAAGAACACAAACAAAATATCTCTTATTTTAGGAAGAAAAAGATGCAAATGACATAATTACCTTAGGTGTGACTAGTAATTAGAGGGCCTAGTAGATTAGGTGTAACTTCCAGTAGACAGTGTATTGTATTCATGAATATTGGCAGTTCACCACACACACACACACACACACACACACACACACACACACACACACGGTTTACTTTGAAGAGGTTTCGCAGGTCTGTTACATTCATAAATTATCTCAATTAATCTTTCGGCTAGTACAACTGACCCTCGAACAACACAGGATTGAACTGCATGGGTCCACCTATATGCAATTTTTTTTCAATAAATATGTCAGAAAATACAGTAGAGTACTGAAAAATGTGTTTTCTTTACGGTTTTCTGAATAACATTTTCGTTCCTCTAGCTTACTTTATTGTAAGAATACAGTATATATTGGGTCTTCAGAGAAGTCTTGCATATTTTTCTACGCTTTTCTATGCAAAATCACATCAAGACTTTTCCGATGACTCAATAATACATATAAACTATGTATTAATTGAATGTTTATGTTATTGGTAAGACTTCTGGTTAACAGTAGGCTATGAATTTTTAAGTTTGGGAAAGTCAAAAGTTACTCATGAATTTTCAGCTGGGCAAGTGTCAAAGCATCTGACTTTTGCATTGTTCAAGGGTCAACTGTGGAAGAAGTAGAAGAGATGTCACCTCAGCTTAGGGCACAGGGTCCTTTTATGTCATTGTAAAATAAAAAGGAATCAGAATGATAGTGTACAAAAGAAACAAAGAGATCTTTCAGGAATCAGAAAAGGATCTGTAGTCAGAACTCAGACCATGTGTTCTCTCAAAGAAACATGAATCGAGGGAAGGTAGCATTATGAGCATTTAGTAGGGATTTGGGCCAAACTTTTAAGTCCAAACAGCCTAGGAAGTTGGGTTCATCTGGCCGATTGGGTGTAGGATTTACCCTCACATCCTTCTTGAGATTCCACAAGGCTGTGGACCTGGTGACCTTAATTTGCTTAAAATGAAGACCTAAATTAAATGGGCAAACTTTGGCAATAGCTTTTTCATGCATTTTCAGACACTTGCCCCTGGGATCTATAGAGAGGGCTGGCAGGTCTTCCTTCTAACGCCATGTCACCATGTCAGAAGGCCTGCTGCCAGAACCCCCCAGGCTGAATGCATGGGGGCTCAGGCTGCTTTTTCCTGGGAATAAGCTAAGAACATCTGTTTAGTAGTTCTGTGTCTATTGGATCGTCTTTTTGCTGCTGTGTTGTTTTGTTGTGTTTGTTTCGTTTTTTTGCAATGACACTGAGTGGCCTCCTGTGTTGTCTCTTTCAGCCAGTAATGTAAAAGTAGAGACTCAGAGTGATGAAGAGAATGGGCGTGCCTGTGAAATGAATGGGGAAGAATGTGCGGAGGATTTACGAATGCTTGATGCCTCAGGAGAGAAAATGAATGGCTCCCACAGGGACCAAGGCAGCTCGGCTTTGGCAGGAGTTGGAGGCATTCGACTTCCTAACGGAAAACTAAAGTGTGATATCTGTGGGATCATTTGCATCGGGCCCAATGTGCTCATGGTGCACAAAAGAAGCCACACGGGTAAGGCGGGCACAGTTTTCCCTTTCGTGGCCTGGGGTGTTGAAGGAGGAAAACCTCTTTGTGGAGTGGTTTGAGCATGTTTCATTTTGATGGGCAGATCTGTGATTGCAAGCCTTCAGCTCCAAGTCCCACCCTAGACATGTTCTTATTCTGGAACTTTCCAAAATACTTCCCAACCTGTTCCCATTCAACCATGTAAATAAGATAATGGAAAAGCTACCACATCTTATGGGAGGTCTATCAAGGGCCTGATGTTTACATACTAAGTAGTACCCACCATGCTGTGAGGTTGAGGTGCCAAGTGCTCCCCCCTTAACAAAACAACGCTAAATGACACCGAGGCACCCAAACTGCCTCCTCATACTTTCCCTGAGAAACTGCGAACACAATAGGCAGGTTGACTGTATTAGAACTAGCAGGTCTTGATTTTAAGAAACACCAGTGAATGATCAGCGAGCAGCCACATTTAGTCTTTCTCAGAATTCCGATTGGTTTTCAAATGCCTCACCTCTAACAGGTGAGACTTGGAATCAGATTGTTTAATCGCTGCAGATTTCACCTCAAACTTTAAAAGCATTTCATGCCAAAAAAAGTCTTCATTGAAAAGACTTCCTGGAGGCTTTGGAAGTATACAAGAGTGCAGTATTCTGTGTCCAAATATGAGGGAATGCAGCCAATGGAGGGTCAGACAGTTATGCCCAAGTGTACAGGTGTCCTCCCCCTGAGGGGTAGGAAGCATGGCTGAGTAACAGCTACACATTTGCCCAGCTGTGGAGTCACTGGCCCTCGCGATGCCAAAGAGTGTTGGAAATGGAATACAAATGGCATGTATTACCTTTAACTGTTGTGTGAGGTTCCTTTTGAATTGAATGTCACTCGACTGTCCTTTTCATGGGACACTGTCCAAAAAGTGGGTGCTACATGGTAAATTTACCGACCCCAGCAGCCATGAAAGCGCAACATAAAATGTAGAAACCCTGAGCCAGGTCCATCCGTGTGCCAGCAATGACAGGTCATTGTGAGCTCACATCTGTCAAGGCAGCACCCAGAGGGCGGGGAGCGGGGTGGAGTACAGATGAAGTGCATGCTTTGGAGGCATCGCAGCCTTTTAAAGATACGGAAAGTGAGGGAGATGACAATCAGAGCCTCCTGTGCTTCTTACACGGAGCCATACATGTTTCTCAGACAGTCGGGGGAATTAAAAAAGTCTCTTGAGAAAAAAGAATTGTGTTATCAGGAAGTACAACTATTTGTAGAGTTGTCATTTTTAATGCATCAGGGCTGTGTCCAAAATTTTGCATTCCATTTATAATATGTCTGGAAAACGATCAGGAAGTTTCTTTTCAATGAACATTCATCTTTAATGAAAATCTTCATTCATCTTCTCAAATTAAGCAAACCTTGCTTTTCCTAATGGGCTCACATTGCCCAAGTTCTCCAATGGAGTGACTCATCACACCAACCCTGAGTGAAGTGTGCATGAGGGGAGCCCATTCTCCCTTCTCATAATGAGGTGGGAATTATTGTGAAGGTGGGCCACCCCAGAATGCACACCCAGCAGGTACACAGGACCCATGGTCGAACATACCTAATCAGGAAGAGGCTTCACAGGATGAATTACTTTCTTGTTAATTCATGGAAAGCCTGGCCATACAGTAGAGATTCTCTTAAATAAATATTTGATAAGTGAATCAACTTCTGGCATTCTAGATTGCCAAGATATAATGACCACCTGCCTCGATAAAAGGAATAATGACTTCAATGAGGAACCTGCCAAGCACAGTATGCCATGTGGCACCTGCTGTACGAGTTCCCTTCTAACAAGAGCAACTAAGTGGCAGGCACCCACCAACACACTGAGTTCTCTACCCAGGGAACTTCCACTTCCAGAAATAAGGATGTACTGTCAGTTGTATAGTTCCTCCCTTGCCTTTTATGAAAAACAAGCAAACAATGACAAGAGCTGGCCCATGGCATAGTGGTTATGGGAGTAGGGTCCCAAATGGCTGACTGTGTGGTTTGAATCCCAGACCCAGCAGCATGAAAAAACATACTGGATGCACATATGTGCATGCCCCAAATGCGGACAGGATGGAAAAATGGAGAAGGGATTGCAATATGACCACAGCCCATTGGGGGTACTTTCTCCTTTCTCTCTCTCTATCTGTGTCTCTCTGTCTCTCTGAAGAGTGCACTTGTCTCTAGAAAATGAAAAAGAATGACAACAAAAACCCAAAACAGTGAACTCATGGATTGTTGTTTTTGTGAATTTCTGCTCGAATAAGTATAGGCTATCCAAGGTATATACAGAAATACAGTTTGCCCAAACTAGGTGTGAATCACTAGACATGCTGCTAAGATTTTCATTTTCCTGAGCGCTGAGTGTAATATATTTGAAAAAGTACGCTTTCTGAGTTTTCTGTGTTTAAAACATTGCTAGAGCCATGCTTCTCAAGCTTGAAAGGGCTTAAATGTTACTTGGAATCTTGTGAACTTGTAGACTCCTATTCACAGCCTGGGGAGGGGCCTTCCTAACGAGCTCCCCAGATGTTGGAGCAGGGACCGCAGAGCATCCAAAGACAGTGGGAATGTGCAGTGGAGCAGTGGGCAGTACACAGGGTTGTTGGGGTGGATCTTCACTGGGGAGCTTAGGTCCAACTGAGGCCCCCACAAGAACTAGGTCTTGCACTTGGTCCCATGGCCATGTTCCTCCTCTTGCCTGCTCCTGAGTCTGCTGAGGCCTCAGGGCTTCCCAGTCCTTGCCTGATAAACGCAGAGGATTTCAATCTCCCAGGTTGGAGCCCTGGACTCTGCCGTTCTCTCCACCTTGGAGAGGTAGATTCGGTGCCATTTTCTAGGTGGTACTTTGGCCTCCACACCTTTCTTGCCAGTATTGCTGCTCAGCTTCACATTTTTGACTCTGGTGAGATGGTGGTGTCTTCCTCCCCAGCATCTCAGGGTTCTCGTGAGTGTCAGTCAGGTGGGGAGTGGAGGAAGGGTAGGGGCACACAGGCTGTAGAAGACATGGCAAGCAATGGGATTTTTAGTGGTGGAGATCAAAAGAGTTTCTGAATTTGGTTGTTCCTAATGGCACTGCACCTTCTCTGTCCCCATCTGTCACTGAGCCCGACTGTGATGGTCTCCCGTGGTGATGTCCCAGTAGGCTAAGGGCAGTTCTTGCTGTCTAGATATATTTTTCATTCCACTGCTGTTGTGCCTCAGAGATTCCATGATGGCTACCTCTATCCTCTGTTACTAACAGGGGCTCAAGCATCCTTTTTATTTGGTTTTACTATAGAGTGTGTACTCTTGCCAGAGAGAGACAGAGAGAGAGCAGAAAAGTAAAAATGCACCCTGTAAGGAGGGTGGTCACACCCCTTCTCTTTTATTCTCAGGATTTGGGCCACACACACACACACACACACACACACACACACACACAATGATTTTCAAGCTGCCAGGTCTGTGACTCAAACCAGAGTTGGCCATGTAGGATCCAGCAGCCTTAACCTCCGTGCCACCTGCTGGCCCATGGGACTCAGACATTCTTATAGAGGCTTCCTAAATTGGGAGATCTGTTGAATCACTGGGATTAAAAACCAAATTTTGGATACATGATGATAAAGTCCTCATCCTGCTTAAATAAAAGCCATCTTGGAGAAGCTTGGTCTTACTGAGCTACAAGAATGAGCTGTTGGCCTGCAGGAGGTGAACATACATGCTGTAGGCTGCACTCCCTCACCCAGCTGCCTTCAGCTCCATGGATATGTCCCCTTTCCCGTTAGCACCTTCCACAGGGAGCTCCAGAGGGTAGCACTGCGTTGTCACTTTGGCAGTGCTGTCCTCCAGACCGCCATGCCCTGTGCTGTGTGCTCGTGCCAGCACAGACTGTGCCCAGCAGTTTCCCAGGGAAGTTGCAAAGGATTAAGACATCAGGCTAGGATCCACAAGAAACGTGGGCTTGAGTAGAAGCTGGGTCTCCCTCCCTGAGAACTGGCCGCCTCTCCTGCCTGCCCTATTTCTGCAGAAAGGAGGGGTGGCTATGATAATCGGGCTGACCAAGGCAAGGCTGTCCCTCATAGTTTCCTTGTAACCCTCCAGACCCAAGGCGAAACGCGGAAACCCAGCATGCAGGGGGTCTTTTCAGAGGATGGGCATCAGGTTGGGCTTGCCGGCTTCGGGCATACAGGAGCACCCCCATCCTGATTGTGAACATTTATGACACGGGCTTTCCCGGCTGTCCTTCCCACCCAGCCTGATGGTCCCCCAGGTCTGAATGAGGCGATGGTCAGTGGCATGTTTTCTCCCTCCTGTCGCGTGCCTCCCTGTACATGGCAATCACCCTACATTTCTTTCCCCTGTGTCCTCTTGGAGTGAACACACGCAGTCACACACACGTGCAGAGAAGGCCTAGAGAGTATCTAATAAATAACTAAGTGATCTCTCTCCATTGCAAGCTCTTCAGGGCTACCGGGCGACCAGCCATTTTAATTTCCTCATGGGGTATCAGCCACATGCATGGGGTTGACTCAGAGAGCTGATGAGTTACCTTTGCCATTGCTTCCAACCAACTCGACTTTAAACCCTGACTCTGTCCTCTCTTGTCCAATCCAGATAGGAATTCGGAAAATGCTGGGTTCCTCCTGGTTCGTATCAGAACCCCCATTTGGCCTCCAATTAACCATCACTGTTAATTAGTTTCAACCTTTACAGTACACTCCCAGCCTGCTCGTTTAAGGGGGAAAAATAGTGATGATAATCATGAGACCCAACTGCCAAAATAGACTTTTGAATTGAATCTGGTATGGATTTCAATCCTGCCAAAGGTGCATCTAACGGAGACATTTTTAGTAAATGTTATCTTCATCACTATAACTACATTAAGCCGTTGAGAAGATGCTTCCATAGACCTTTTGACATATTCTTTTTTCCGAAAGTAAAAATAAAATCGTCCCTAGGAAATGCATTGTTATGGTCTCTCAACACCAGGAGTTGTGGTCACATAGCACCCTTCTTCTAAATCAAGAACTTGTTTTTCTGAAGAGCTTTAATATTACTTAAATAGGACCAATGTATCCCTCTTTAAGAAGGAGTTAGATGTAAGTGTTCAGACTCCGAAGCCCGTCACCGCTAAGCAGGACAATAGTATGTCGCCCCTGTCCTCTGTCTGTCCACCCCTTTGTCCGGCCCAGAATACAGGCTTGTGCCCTGCCCCACGCAGCTCAGCCTCAGGGTTTCCTCTGTCACAGATGCTGTAGTCCCGGCCCCGAGAGGATGCTCCAGTCCCAACTGAATTGCATATCGAGGAATATCTGTTCTTAAAATATAACTTGCCTTCTCTGGTTATAGACAAATAACAGCATGAAAGTCTCAGGATTTGCAATGAAAAAAACAAACAAACAAAAAAAAACAAACAGAAATCTTGATGCAACTCTGACTTTTATACCCTGCCATAGGGAGATTTGGGATTTTCTTTGGAGGAAGGGAGCTTCCTTCACAGTTTCTTAACTTCTCATTTTATTCAATCTTTCTCCATCTCTCTCTCACCCTCACCCTCTCTCTGTCTGTCTCTCTCCTGATTTGCCTGCTTAGGGACAGACAGGTAATGGAGAAGAAATTGAAAGGGAAAATACAGGGAAAATGTAAATGAAAAGAAGTTATTATAACTGTTATAATGAAGTGCCTTTCATTTAAATATAAGAATGTAACGCTGAAATGAACTTGTGATCCTGAAATGCATTTTTAATGAGTTTCCTTTTTATTTTGCTGCTTCAGTGGCATATTTTAAAGACCCTTTGAAAAAAGCCACATTAAAAACCCCACCAAATGCCACAACACGCAAAATTGGATATTGGTTTATTCCAAAACTGCTGATCAGGAAGAGTGGCTCTTCATCACAAAATGTTGCAGTCACTTTATTTAAATGAGTTTGAATTTGCATTGTGATGTGCCATTCTGATTTAGGGAAAAAAAATTAGATTTTCAGATCAAATTGACCCAGCCAGTGAAGCGTTAAGGAGCTGGCAGGTTTAGCCTGAAAGCCTCATGTTCTATCAAACCTGCAGCCGGTGGAAGTCACCGAGCCCCCGTGGGAAACAACTTTCTCGCTGGCGTCGTCCTCTTGTCCCCGCGCAGAGTTTTGTTCTCACCGGTCTCCTCTGCTCGTCCCAGGAGAGCGGCCTTTCCAGTGCAGCCAGTGTGGGGCCTCCTTCACCCAGAAGGGCAACCTGCTGCGGCACATCAAGCTGCACTCCGGGGAGAAGCCCTTCAAGTGCCACCTCTGCAACTACGCCTGCCGCCGCAGGGACGCCCTCACGGGCCACCTCAGGACGCACTCCGGTAGGTCCCTGGGCACAGGCGGGGCTGCCCGTGTGCCGGCTCGCGTGTGTGTGCTGGGGGACGAGATCCTGGCATGTGTGCTTGCGCCCGCCCCAGTGCCGGCCCTCCACGGGCACCGTTCACCACTCCTTGGCATCAGCTCCCTGCCCCCATGTTCTGCTGTTCCCATCGAGCCAGAGGAAATGGGCGGGGAAACGCACGTGCACACACACACACACACACACACGTGTTCACACACACACGTGCACACTAGGCAGTCTCACCTTAGGCTGCAGGTTTCCAAAGGGGCCTCGTCAGGTAAGTGGGGTTTTCGTAAAGGATTTCGCCAGCCTTTTTTTCACCAGGTGCATTGCTGACAGCCAGATCACTTTTTGTTTTTTTCACGCCAAATATTTTTAGTAGCAGTAATGGGGATGGTTTTCTCTGCAGAGCGACAGACAAGGGTGATTGAGGGCGTAACCTCATCGTTATCGGTGGACATGCCCACCTGGGCCCAGCTTCCATGTGGGTGCCATAGCAGAAATCAGTCAAGGCCTTGGGTGCAGAGCCCGTGTGGGGCCATGACCAGATTTTAGATGGTGACATTTCTCTGTGAACGAGAGAGTGGAGTGCACCCCAGGCATTCTGAGTGTCCGCGAAGTCATTGCAGCAGGCATGCTGGAGCGCTAGCACACGCCCGCCCTGCGGAGCACAAACGCACCTTTCACAGCTCAGCTCCTCTGTCTCCTAAGATTCCTTCCTGGGTGTTCACCATCCAGTAGCCCCACAGTCCTGCAGGCCCAAGGAGGAAAGGGTCTCGGCCAACCTGATGTGGGTGGGGTCTGCCTACAGCATGGTCTGTAGACGGCATGTGCGCAGTAGCCTCCCCTAAGAGGTGGGATGCCTGTTCTTCCTCAGACGTTTACGTGGGTCCCAGGTAGGAGGGGTGCATTTGGTGGCAGGGGGTTTTTAGAGGCCACTCCACGTGCCTGTCTTTCTATCACTCATTTACTGAGCACCTTGGGGTCCTTGTTCTCACGCAGAGAAAAGCGCACACCAGCAGAGCACCAGTGTATGACAAGTGGCACAATGACACAGTGTCCTAGGAGATGGTGGGAGCAGGATGGAGGGGACAGTTGGGAAGGCCAAGAGGGACTTCAGCTGGAAAGTACTTGCTGCAAGGCAAGGCGCTCGAGTGTGTTTTGGAGGAGCTCTGAAGGAGGGCTGTCTCCTGCGGTGATGGGGGGCGGGGGGTGCCTGTTTCGGCAGGTGCTGACGAGAATGTGGTGCACAGGGGAGTTCATCCTGTGACCGTGGGGGACAATGAGAGGAGAAGGGGGGCCATGAGCCATCCCCTCTCTATTTCAGCCTCCTGGCCAATGGAAAACTGGAGGAGGCTCCCAGATGTCTTGATTTGGGTGAAGCACTTAAAAACTTCCAAGAAGGGAGATACACTGAGCTGATGAATTCCCACCCACAGAGTAGGAAAGTGGTAACAGGGCCACCGTCTCCCCTCCCCATCATGGTTAGGACTGAGTTTCAGGGCTGGGGAGGGACAAGGAGCAAAGACAGATGCCCCCACATGCCAGTGAGCGTCCTCAGCATTGGCAGTGCCTGTCATGAGCACATGCAGTGACCCTCCTGCAAGCAGTGACAGGGCTGGGGACTGACTGGCATGGCAGGCCCCGGGGGCTGCAGTTGGGAGGAGGTACAGTCTGCCCAGAAAGAGAACCTGCACATCTGTCATTTTTAAGGGGTCCATCCACATAGACAGCCAGTAGCGAGATCGCGTTGGGTTGGTAGGAACACAACCTTCCCTGTCAGTGGAAACACGAGGACACCTTCGTGGATGGCTCTAGCCTCATCCCCATCCTCCTGATCACTCTGCTCTGCAGTCGCCACCTCTCCTGTGTATCAGTCCTCAAAACTTAACATGCCGCCATTCTCCTCCCCCCCGACATGCTGCTGGGAACATGTATAGTGCAGTGTTACATGCCGTTCAGGCCCCACGCCTGCTGCTTTCATTCCAGGGGCAATGGCGTCCTGCGCTAAGTTTGGCTACCTTCTTGAGTCATTCTGTATACAGTAGGCTGTGGGCAGGGCATTTCTGTTACGGAGTCACGCATGAGCAGGTGGAGAAAACATCGCTGAGCTAATGCAGCTGGTGAGTCTGCCATCTGAAAATGCCAATCACACATGCGCAGCCCGGGAAGAGCATCAGCGATTGGGTTCTTCAGAATAATCATTCTACAGTGAAATGAGGACTTGGACTTTGCAGGCAGACTCCCCAGTGGCCACATCCTATTGTATTATGGAGTAGCCAGCACCCCCCCCCAAAAAAAAAAAAAAAAAACCCCGGAAGA